TGAAGATTTGGCTCATACCCGACCGGGTATGCCGACATACCCGACCGAGTATGTCCCGAAAAGTCACTTTCCGGGAAAACTGCCTTGAAAATCCGATTGGGCACTCCAACTTGACCAATTCACCAACATTGGAACTGAATGACATGGATGATTTTGTGTAATTGACCACCTGACATGGATCCCAAAAGATCAAAGAAAGTGAAAGGGGACAATACCCGATCGAGTATTGAGTTTATTCGGGTGTCAAAATCAAAATCCAGAGGACAAAACAAAGTGTAGGATTTTGAAGATTTGGCTCATACCCGACCGGCTATGCCGACATACCCGACCGAGTATGTCCCGAAAAGTCACTTTCCGGGAAAACTGCCTTGAAAATCCGATTGGGCACTCCAACTTGACCAATTCACCGACATTGGAACTGAATGACATGGATGATTTTGTGTAATTGACCACCTGACATGGATCCCAAAAGATCAAAGAAAGTGAAAGGGGACAATACCCGATCGAGTATTGAGTTTATTCGGGTGTCAAAATCAAAATCCAGAGGACAAAACAAAGTGTAGGATTTTGAAGATTTGGCTCATACCCGACCGGGTATGCCGACATACCCGACCGAGTATGTCCCGAAAAGTCACTTTCCGGGAAAACTGCCTTGAAAATCCGATTGGGTACCCTATATACCTGGTCGGGTATAAGACTTTGTCTCCTCTAAAAGTCTATAAATACACCCATTTTCCTTCCCATAAAAGGCACCAATTCCTATACACCTCTAAGCTCAGTTTAGTTAAGTGTTTTCTTTGTATTTTATAGCATGTTTAATCTTCAAATGAGAAGCTAGACCCTTCTATCTTGGTTTTGCTACGTTGAAGCTTATGATTTGTAAGTTGTGAAATACTTTCTTTAATCATCTTACTTAAATATTAATTATATTCCTATTTTATATCCACATCAATATGTGAGCATTACTTAAAGGATCAACTAGTTTTGTTTTATATATTAATTATTACTAGAATCGATCGATGAATACATTTGTTAATTGTTTAGTCCTTTCACGGTAGTAAACTTGGATTATTAATGCATGCGTCTCATGGTTAATAATCTAAGGAGAATTAATTATATTGAGTAAACCAATAAACCGATTGTGTTGAGGTTATCAATCTCAATCGATTTAATCTCAAGTTTTATTGCTACTATCAGATCAATATACGGCGCGTCTCGTTATTAATAACTACCCTCGATGAATTGGAGATGATACTACACCATTGAGTATTTGAGAGGAAGATAGTTAAAGATATAACCCGGATCGACGAACATTTCATTAAGTGGATATAAGCAAAACCAAGTCTCCATCTCTAATTAATTAAACCACATAAGTCGTTCAGCTTAGTGTTTAAATACAAACAACAATCTTAAACTGCCCTTTTTTGTTACTCCCTCAGTCCCAATTTGTAAGATATGTTTCCTATTCATTTTGTCAACACAAATCACTCTTAATCTCTTAGTTTATGTATCAAATTTTTATCAAATTTGATTCTGGTTCTTGTAACTTTGTAAAGCTTTTATTGTACAGTAGTTTCTGAATACGTAAAAAAATTGTAAAAATAATTTGAGTACAGACAAAGATCCATTTGCTTTATCGTCGATCAAATATCGTAAACCGTAAAGTGTCTTACAAATTGGGATGGAAGGGGTACTAGTTCTATAAAAGAGAAGTATTCATTTTCCTGTGGATACGAACCTTACTACGCTATACTACGGTATTAGTGCGAGTATTGTATTTATTTTGAGGCACACAACGACTTTTGTGTCATCAGCAGATTACCACAACCAAAATGGAGGATTAGTGGTTTCTGAGCGGCAATTTGGGGTAGCGGGTTGAGTAATCTAAAATTCGAAGGATACAACTTGATCGATTGAGGACGTTTTTACGGAGGTAAGTGCTCGATCACTGGAAGGCCCATTTAGTGAGCACATGATGTTGTATATCCGGTTTACTTATTCTCGCATGAAGCTCACTCGGAGGAGTTTTAAATTTGAAAACATTTGAGCTAAAGAGGAAGAATGTAGAGTGGTTATCCAACAGAGCTAGGAAGAAAATCCAAGTCGTCGGCGAATTTGGCAGTGAATCACTAATTGTGGGAGGGCGCTTGAAAAGTGGAACATGAGACGGAAACAAGAACTTCAACATGGGATTGATGAGTGCCGTCGACATGGTTAGGAGTGTAAAGATTACATTGTTAAATTTACACAAGCAGCGGAATGATATTTTGAGACAAAGAGCAAAAAAGGTATGGTTAAAGGATGGCGATGTTCATATATACCAATTTTTCTCTCCCATTTCAGTTAGGCAAAAGAGGAGAAGCAATACAGTGAAGGGATTAAAAAAAGATGATGATACTTGGATTCGAGATAAAGCTGAAATAAGGGGTTTGATTGAAGAATACCTCATAGATTTATTTTTGCCCAATATGACGAGAATGCAAGGATTGAATAGAGTTTCACATATTGAGAATGCAACTTTGTTAAAGTCGATCACAATGGAACAAATCAAAAAAGTAGTTTCTTGCTATGCACCCGAATAAAGCCCCTGGCCCACATTGGTCTTGGTCCGGGTTTTTTCAGAATTATTGGGAGATTGTGGGGTCGGGGGTCGAGGGTCGGAGGTATTTAATTATTGCATTTTTAGGAGGGTCACTTACCTAGGACGATAAGTGGCACCAACCTTGTGTTAATTCCTAAAGAGGTGATTCCAGAGGAGATGGGTGACGGGAGGCGTATAGCCTTATGTTCAATGATTCATAAAAAAATATGCTAAGCTTCTGCTAACCGAATGAAGGGATGTCTCAAATATACTGTTTCTACTAATCAAAGTGCTTTTATTCCAGGCCGCTCTATTGTAAACAACATATTGATAGCTATGGAGGCACATCATTTCCTAAAAGCGTAAGACCCAAGAAAAAGAAGGATTTATGGCTTATGATAGGGTGGAGTGAGATTTTTTATTCAAAATGATGAGAGCCATGAACTAATAATGAAATGTGTTCAAGATGTAGAGTATTGTATACCTTTTGATGGCTCTCTCATTGGACCGATCAACCCTTAGAGGGGACTTTGATAGGGAGACCCTCTATTTTCATATTTATTTATCTTGGTGGCAGAAGGTTTAAGCGCACTTATTCGGCGGAAGGAAAATATGAACAAGTTGTATGGAATCTCAGTTGCAATAGGGGCACCTAAGGCGCCTCATTTATTTTTCGCAGGCGATATCTTCTTGTTTTTTAGGGCAAAGGATGACGAATGTGGTGCGATACGAGATATGATTCAATCATATGAAAGGGACTCGGGACAAAAAAAATCAAAAATCTTCTATCTATTTTAATCCCAACGTTCCTAATGAGGAGAAAAGTATAATCAGTGTGATGTTGGGGTCCTCGAGTGGGAGAGGTGTGATAATTACTTGGGGCTACCTACTCTTATGGGACGGAGTAGCTGAGATCTTGGGCTTCTTGAGAGAGAATTCTAAAAAGAATGACTAGCCGGAATAATAAATTCTTATCTAAAGTGGTAAGAGAAATTCTTCTAACACGGTTATACAGGCTATGCCCTCTAATGCTATGAATATTTTTCTTCTACCGATGGAGTTATGCTCAGATATAGAATGACTTATGAATGAATATTGGTGGTGGGGTAAGGACGTGAATGGTAGGGGTTCGGGTGGGAAAATTCGAAGGCACTTTGCACCCCTAAATCAAATTGAAAGGTACTTCACCTTCCTAAATCCTAAATCAATCAAAGAATTTGATATTGTCATGCTGGGTAAACATGCTTGGAGATTAATCACTGAGCCGGATTCGCTGGTCAGTAAAGTGTTCAAAGCGAGGTATTAGACTAATATTTCGTTCCTTGATGCAAAAATGGGAATCAATCTTTCATTTTTATAGAAGTGTTATGGAGGTGCAGAATGTAGCTCGCAAAAGGAAACCACAAAAGGGCGGGGACCAGTAGAGATACTTCTATGTGTCATGATAGATGGTTCCCTAGAGAAGGGGATTTAAGGGTTATGAAGATTTATGGCGACACTCATAAAGCAGGATCGCACGTGTTGGAATGTGGAGAGAGTTCGTGCAATCTTTAATTCTGAGAGAGGCAATACTCAGTATATCACTTATTAAGAGTATAGTACAAGATGGATTTTGGTGGAATGAAGAGTCCAAGAGAATTTACATGGTTAAAAGGGATATAGGAAACCGATTCACTTATGTTATGACAGACGAGTGAATGGGTTGGACAAAAATGTGGAAATTTTTCACACCCCCAAAAGTTATACAATTTTTCCGGCAGGTGATGGTTATGGTGCTTCCAATGGTGGACAACCTAAGATGAAGGAGAGTTTAGATCCCAACAATTTGTCGTGTCCTAAGGAGTGCAAAGTGATGGCGAAAGTCATGACACAACCTAAAATTATACAATTTTTCCGGCAAGTGTGTAATGAAGAGGATGAATCATCTCTTCATCTTTTTAAGGAGTGCAAAGTGATGGCGAAAGTGTGGAGTAAGGTGCGGCCAACTCGTCAAAGTTGGGAACACGTCATTATGGAAAATGATGTGCAAGTAATTACATCAAGATTACATGAAGATATTTTTCACAAAGAAATATATTTTTTTATGAGTCCCGCTTCGTGTACACGCCGGGTTACACGCCGGTCAAATTGTCTGTATACAGACAATTTGATCGGCTAGACAGACAATTTGACCAACGTTTTATGAAGAAAATCGATTTTCATACAAACAAAATATAAAGAGTTGTCTGTATCACAGACATTTTAAACCTGAATTTTTCATAAAGTGTCTGTGATACAAGCATTTTTTTTTTATTTTGGTCTGTGTGAAAATCGGTTTTCTTCTTAATTCGCCGCTTAATATGTCTGTCTGTGTAGTCGATCAAATTGTCAATCGGTTTTCTTCTTAACCAACTTGACTGTGTACAACCCATGATTTAGTGGGAGCAACCCTTTTTAATACGGTTGATAGCGAATTTAGTTTGAGTTCTATTTATATTTTGAGCAAAACGATTCCTCGGATTAATGAGAAATTGCATCTTCTTCAAAAAACTTGGAAGAACCGGTTAGCAGTTGGAAAGGTTTTATCCAACCCTTACCGACCATCATAATGATAAAGAGATGGTGAAAATACCCACAATGTCCCCTTCTCCCCTCTTCCACTGGCCCCTCCTTCGGTTCTTCCCCCGAACCACCACACGCAGTAGAGAGAGAAACTGAAGCTAGAAAGGGAAGAGATCATAGGGTAAGATCTTCCCACGATCGTCATATTTTCCATGACGTTACTTGTTTAATTTTTCATCCATAAAGCAAGCCCTAGATCTTCTCCAACAATAGAGAAGAAGATCTAATCTTTTTCTTCTTTGACCTGGACGATGCGGAGTGGCAGAACACCTCCACAGTTTAAGCAGTCACCGGAGGAAGATCCCGGTGTCGGAGAAATCAACAGATCCGGTGGATCCAAGGAGATCAGGTTCAGGGGAGTGAGAAAGAGACCGTGGGGAAAATTCGCGGCTGAGATCAGAGACCCTTGGAAGAAAACCCGTGTATGGCTCGGGACCTTTAACTCGGCAGAGGCCGCTGCTCGAGCTTATGACGCTGCTGCTCGTAATCTCCGTGGTCCAAAAGCCAAGACCAACTTCCCGTCGCCTTCTCCTCCTCCTCCTATTCATCTATCTCCTTATCAAAACAATCAATTTAACCATGGGCTAAGCGATTCATCATTCGTCGATCAACAGATGTTCCCGCAGGGTCATCCTGTTATCTCCCAGAGGCCGACAACCAGCGGCATGAGTAGCACGGTGGAGTCCTTCAGCGGGCCACGGCCTCCCCGGCTTCCCACGGCTGTAGCGCTAGCTTCTCGTCCATTAGTAGTTCCATACGATTGTCACAGCGACTGCGATTCTTCCTCTTCCATTGTTGATGACATGGACTGCGACTATATTGCATCTTCTTCCAGAAAGCATTTGCCTTTCGATCTGAACATGCTCCCGGCAGAGGGATTAGAGGATGCCAAATCCTACGATGAGCTTCCATGCACAGCTCTTTGTCTCTGACTGTGAACGGTGGTGAATCTTCATTGTAACCAATTCGATCTCCTAATTTTACTTTTACTTTATTTCACGATCTCCTATTTATGGAAAGGGAAGAGGGGGGAAAGCAAGAAGAAGAAGAAGAAGAAAGTGGGATATATTAGGGCCAAGACTGAATCTTTGTTATCATAATGAAGGTTTAGAACATCAATGGGGTTTGTCTTTGACAAGCTTGCTGTTTGAACTTTGAAGTGGATTTTTCATGCTGATTAATTAACATGGCTGTATCACATAGCTGATGCAATATGCGTTTTATGTTATGGTGATGATCTTTGTGGAATGATAACCATATGTCAGAGTATCCCTTTTAGTATAGTAATTGTATTCACGTTTGCCCGATTCTTCTTACACTAGCATGAGGTGTGTGTTCATATGCTCTTTATTGATTGTCATGTATGTTGTGTCTTTAGCTTGATGACATCTCTGCTTTTACTCCATAAATGAGTGTGATCGGAGTAAATGGTCATAGTATTTTACTTTGCATCTGCAGCGATTAATGTTGCATACACATTTTTAATCATTATATGCTGTGCTTGCGTGCGTGGTGAGAGAGCTTTGACACGTGGGAATGGTTCTTGGTAAATAGGCAGGCTACTGAACCACATTTTACATCACTTTTGACATCGGGGCAAATAAGAAGTGTTAACACACAGCTGGGAATGGTTCTTAGTAGAAGTTAGTTACTAACTAAACTGATTGTCTTATACTGACTGTTTCCGTCTGCAGCTGAGTATCTTACAGTAATTAAGGTGCCAGTTTGTAGTCGAAGGCTTGTTCTTTTTTCGGGCAGATCATGTAGCACTTATTATGTATGTATCTTGCTGAGATATCTGTGCTAGCAAATCTTTTTTCTGTCAGAAAATTCAGGAAAGTAACTTGTAAAAGGAGCCATAAAGCTTTTTATGATATAGTAAATTTGTTAGCACTTAAGATGTAGCACTTATGTATGTATCTTGCTGAGATATCTGTGCTGAGTTGAGTCTCCTTGTTTTATTGATTTAGCATTATTACTATAATAGTAATAATAATTGTTATATAGTATTGCTAGCCTAATCTCCCACTCTTTTTCCCATATGCTATACCTCTAGTCTGTGGTTTTGGAATAACTTTTGCCGGCGTTTGGTTCCAGGATCCTAAGATTACCGACCTCTATAAGGCACAGTGAGGTAATGTTAAGATTACCGAACCTCTATAGCCTGACATTCATCCTCTCAATACAACCTTTTTAACTTGTGGTTTGATTCTTAATTATATGCCTACGTACCATATATGATTGACATGTATGTGAAGTAATTGTTAAACATTGATGTGCTCAACAATGTGAGTGTTAATACCAACACTATGAGAGTGCTGGTATGCACAAATGCATATGAACCCTAGCGACTGAAAGAATTCCAGAAACAGCAACCTGCCTTGGGTGCAGTTTGGGGTGAAGTGCAGAAGTGCTGTTGTGCTAAAAAGCACTTTTCATGCCAAAGGCAACTCTTAGGTTTGTGATCACCGCACCATAAGCAGGGCTTATGTTTATGTTTTCTTAATGCGCACAGGAGGGATAAATAAGGGTTATTACTTATTGTCATTTCTTCCTAAGACACTAGCATGAATTTAGGGCTTTTGATCCATTCTGAAATCGGAGGCATTCTAACCACCATCATACAGCAGTGTCATACCTGGGTTCGTTTCAAGTTTATTTATTTATGATAACAGAGGGGTGTGATCTCTTTTTTGGAATTTGCTCAAGACTATGAAATTTGCCTCTGGAGAAGAGATTAAGAGAAATCATATTCTTCTGATCCATGAAGCATGGAAACTCTCGGGAAAGAGTGTGTTTCTGTTTCAGAAAATATGTGGAAACTCTCAAACAATTGTTTTTCATGTAAAAAATGATGTTTCCTATAGTTTTCTTGTTTCCATTTAATTTTCCATGGAACATAGCTTCTAATCCATTTTTGTCAAACTAATGAGACAAAAGTTGAGTTATTTCTTTTGTTAAGGTGATAGGGTTACCAGCAAAAAAACAAAACAAGAAGGTTCTAATAATTCATCATTCTTTATGGTTAAGACCAACTGTGTAACCACCGGAGGGACCTAGAGGCAAGTGCACCCTTTCGGCCCAGAAATTCACTATATTTGAGAATTCATGGAGTTTTTTAACATGGAGGGGTGTTTTTCAAACTTATTTTCCAAACTAAGGTACTTGTAAACTTATTTCCCAAATAGGAGTATTTTTTGCCATGTCACCTCATTATCCGGTGTGTTTGACTCTCACAAATATCTGAGTTCGCTAGTTTAAACTTTTGCAAATTAAAAATTTCAGAACTTTTGGTAATTTGAATTTCTATTGTGATAATTAAATTTTTATGATTTAACTTTTACTAGCATGGTAAATTTTATGTGGGGCCCATATTTAGATTAGTGGGGCAGTTAGTTTTTACTTTTACCCCATTTATTACTTGCATAATTTATCAACAAGGTACGTTGTTGATAATGTCATGAATACAATGGTAAATGGATAATAAGGCATATTTGGGATAAGTACAGGATTACCTAAAGTAATCAAGTATGTATGTATACACGAAAATGTTTAAAAGTGTTTAAAGATGTGATTAGTCATGGTAGTTATAGATTATGCGAATATTGCATGATTAATGAGTAGGAATTGAACTTGGTTGATATTGGTATGAATACAAGGTTTTAAGTGGATAATGAAACATATCTGTTTTAGGTATGAGATTCCTAAGATAATAAAAAACGTGTTTTATGAAAGAAAGAATTAAAAATGCATCTAATTATGTGTTATACCATGATTTAGTATAAACATTGTTGAAGTGCATGTTAATGGTACTTGTTATGGATAAAATGTGATTACATTATATATATGAGGTTCTACACGTCCAAAATGGTATTTTTGGATCAAGGGTAACTTGTATTATGAGTATAAAAATGTTTTGAATATTTTATGTACTCATAGGGATGATTGAGTGACCCATGGTAGTATTGATTCACATGCCCTAATAGGGATGGGCGAGTGTCCTGGAGCAGTATGGACTCATATGCACTCATATGGGATGGGTGAGTGTCTCGAAGTAGTATTGACTCACATGCACTCTCAAGACACAGGCGAGTGGGCTAGAGTAGGATGGACTCCTACTCACTTGCAGGATGGGGAGAGTAACTTCGGACGGTAAATAATCCATTAAACACTCCTAGGTAAATAGAAAGTTGGAAATAACTTGTGAGCTAGACATTCGGGAATGACATGGGGAAAGGTCGGGTAAAAGACTAATTTTCTCCAAAGATTTTAAAAGGCAAATGACCTACAGGTTGAATATTTTACAAGCATATACGGCATGTATCATCTTTTGGATGGAGTAATGGTAGTTATGCTTATAAGTATACGTATCACCCTATGTTTGGGACTTACGTCTGAAACGTTAGTTATTGCTCATTGATTGCTTCGGCAACTCGAGAGTGGACAGACACCGAGGGAGAGTTCGAAAAATGCTAAGTATAGATTGAGTAAGAAATTTGACAAAGTAAATATAAGTTTGAGAATACATAATGCAATTCCTTTCCACAAGTTAAAAGGTGATATTAATAGTGTACAAAGAAAAACTTAGGAAACGAGTACTGGACTACTGGTGGAATTCCGACATAGGGGTGACCGGAAAACCGAGTTGGAGAGACTGAGTGCTAAGTAAGATCGAGTAAGAAATTGGACAGAGTAACATCAAGTTTGCACAGAGAACTGGATCAGATCCCTTTCCACATGGTGGAAGGTGATATTTATACAATGGAGAAAATACTTGGCTAACAAGTAAAATGATGTTGTTCTATTGTGGTGAAGACACATGTATTACTTGGCTGACAAGAAGAAGTGTACTAATCCAATGGTGTGACAACACGTGTAAAGTTGATTGAAGAGATATCTTGGACCCTAAGCCCGAAACTCAAAACCTGAATACCCGAAACCCAAAACTCTAAACCCTAAATCTTAAACCCACAACGGAATTGTCCTTTGCATGTGTACCAGAATGCACGTGCGCACCACACGTGTGCTATCAAGAATATTTTGTGTAGTAACCATCTGGGTGGCGTGGCCCCTAGACAGTTGTCGTGCTGGTGACGTGGCAACAGGTTTGTGTGGTTCTTGATTGTTGAAATGTCTAAGTTCACAACCGACTGACAAGTGCCCGAGCTCATCAGATGAGATTGAGTTGGGGTTCGGTATGCTTATTTGGAAGGGAGCAACCTCGAGTTGCCGCTTGTCACAAGAAAAGAAGTTTGTGGATACTTTCTTTGGATATTTGTCCGTGGTTATTTTACTAAAATGTTTGGATCCTCTTGTAAAATGAAGGGCGTATTCTGACAAAACAAAATGTTACCATAAGAGAGTTATTAGAAAATGGTGTAGTAGTAACACACGAGAGATGATTGAATCAATAAATTAAAGTAATTTAGCTCAGCCGGGAGTTACATGTTAGGGTTCACAATTTCATCTCAAGTTTATGAAGGAATTTGGGACACTGTAATTTTGTGGCACGACGTGTAGCGTTGGACATTATCCTAGTTCTAAATCAAAATTCTGACCGTTTGTAGTACAAAAACAACTTGAATTCAAATGTATTTCATGTGAATTATTATGTTTTTCTTTCAAGAAACTGATTATTATTATTATTTAGAATTGTTTTAATGGGTTGAAAACTAGACCTGTGGTACATAGATGTAAATCAACCCACAGGTTTTCTCCTAGGTTGAGTAATCAAATGGGTCTAGAGGAGGTGCTACTTATTGACAAACTTTGGTTTGAAACTGACATTGAACAACTTGTTTTTGTTTAAAAAAATTGTCTACACATTGAATAAATTAGTCTCACACTCAATCTGCCCCATCTCCGTTCATACGGTAATGCCCCTGTTTGAAAAAAGTTCTACATCCGCCAATAACCAGTGCAGTCAGGGACGGAGCTATAGCCAAAGTCAAGGGGGCCATGGCACCTCCCAACTTTTCATTTTTTAATTAGTAATGTAGTTAGGTTTTTATTTTTGCCCCCCCCAACCCAACCTGTTATTCTTTATTACTCCCTCCCACCCATTGAACTTTGCCAACTTTCCCTTTTTAGTTGTCCCAAAAAACTTTACCATTTTATTATTAAAACAACTAATTTGTGGTTCTGCATATTTCTCTCTCATCTGCACAAATCTCAACCACACAATTTTTACTATTCTTATTTCTCACCTACTTTGCACATGGCAAAATCTACCGGGACGGTGGTAGTATTACTTAGTCCGTAAGTGTGCAACTGTGCATCACTACTACGTAGTATCAAGTGGAGTAGTGCATCACTACTTCCCTATTATTTCTTGACTGTATTATCAAGAAAAACAAGTTTGGGATATTATTTTAGAATAGTTGGGTTCTAAATTATTCTTGATTGAATTAAAAATTTAGAATATTATTTTACAAGACTGCAACCTATTATTAGCGGTGTTGGGATATTATCTACTAATTAAAATTTAATGAAATATTATACAAATTTATTTTAGAGTCTGCACATTTTTTGTGGTAATGTAAGAGCGACGTTCTAATTTACATCACGTTTAATCATGTGTTTTTGAATGTTTTAAATGAATATCAATACATTATTTATTTTTTTGATAATCCTATACAATTAAATCTGGATTTGATCACAGTCAGTCTCGCCAGTACTGGCTCCAAAGTTCGAATCCAGCAGGACTTACATCGCCTTTCACGCTGCTCCTCCTACCACACGAATCCGCTAGCTTCATTACCATCCTCTCCCTTCTCAGCCGCTGAGCGGCTCCGTGAAGGTAAGAAGAATCATTGGGAGCAAGACATCCCTCATCTCCCCCTGGTAGAAATTGAACCCAAGACCTCCCACAAAGGAGAGACTTGGGAGTGGATGGTCATCCAATGGACTACACCCACCTTCCCACATTATTTAATATTTATTGTATTTTTATATGTGTTATTATTTTTTATTTCACCCGGGCTCCCCGCCCCTGAGTGCAGTACCAGTGTCGAGGAATTGACGAGAGACTATTCAAAATCAACCATTCTTGATGTACACACCCTTGTACACACCTTATACACACCATGTTTGTGAATTTTTTTTTATCTGTGAATCCGGTTCACAGATAATATTTTGTTTGTGCAAACCCTTGTGTGTGAATCGATGTTCACAGACAAAAAAAAGTTTTCACAGACATAGATGTGTACAAAAGTGTGTATAAGAGTGTGTACAAATTCAAAATATGAGTAGTTTGAATTTGAGAACAGCGGTCACGTCATCCGAATAAACGGCACGTCACATGCACTACCACTAACTAACATACTACCTCCATCCAAAAGGTTCGTCATTCATTTTTCCTGAATCATGATAAATTTGGATCATATACTTTCGAGTTAAATATTTTAAACTCAAGAAGAGATCGACTTCATACTTTGTATAAGAAAACTGATCACGGGCGATATAAATTTTAGTTCAAATTAATCCAACTGTATTTCACATGGGGCTGCTGATTCTCTTCAATTTTAAAACTAAAAGTAATATCAGATGATCCAATCTCATCTTAATGGTTTCGGTAGACGATTTAGATTAGAATTTTCAATGAAATAATTACATTTTTAGTACCTAATCTCGATACATAAAAATAATTTTATTTCGAAGCACCTAGTGAGAGGTTCTACATTTTTTATTTTATTAGCGACTATATTTAATTTAAATTTTATAATTATCCTAACATTTTTTTATATTGTTAAAAAATTCAGAAAATACAACTTAACTCATTAAATAGATGTTTAGAATTGAATACGTCAACAAGAAGCTCAAAACGATAAATCTAAATTATTTATAATATAACCTAAAAAATTTGGTGAGTTGTTCCGAGCCTTATTTCTATTTTTTAGGTTCGGGTTACGGTGGCAAAATAACTTTTATTGGGGCGCTTAATAAATTACTGTAGTTATTATTTGATTTGGTAGTAGACTCCTTAACATCAGTAGAGGTTTATCGAAGGCAGCTGCCCCCCGTCCCTCCCTCCCTTGGGTGTAGATTCGTGTACACATAGGGATTCGTGTACTCCCTCCGTTCCTAGTTTGACTTGACACGCTTATTAAGAAAGTGGAATAAAATGGAAATGTATGTTTGTGGTTGCGTAAGAAAAAGGTAAAATGAATGTGAACCACACAAATTGTCCAAAATGGGAAAGTGGGAAGTATTTTTGGGAACAACCCAAAAAGGAAAGTGAGAAGTATTTTTGGGAACGGAGGGAGTACAAATTAAAAGCCCAAGTATTATTTTTATATTTTAAAAAAAGAGCCCAAGTATTATGTATTACTCGTATAAGTTAATACTTCATATGTCCCTTAAATTAAGTTTTTTAACCAACTCTTTTGTGCTTTTTTCTTTAAATAACTCTTTTATGCTTATAAACTCTATTAAAATGAGTTCTAATTTTACTGAAAACGATACTTTAAAAGAAGTTCAAAGTAGCCTATTAGTTTTGTATTATTTGGACTTGTCTTATTTTTAGTGTATTGTATCAAGTCTTTGATGGGTGTGCAGCTTAAACTACTTTTTTTTGGAGCATAAAACCCTCTAAAATAGCAAAATTAACTGTTCATTTGTGTCAAAAAGCTCCATGAGTTTGTTCCTTACAGCCCTTATAGTTAACTTTTATTCTATCAACTTGGATGTTTTTCTTCACAACAAAACTCTCCTGTTTTTCTTTAATTGGACTATCGTGGTTATACAGAGCTGTCTGATCTTTTATTCCAGAGCTGTTGTAATTAACTTTCATGTTTTGACTCCTCCATTTTTCGAGCTTTCTGATGCAAACTTCAGAAGTTCCAAACCATTCCACAATCTAAATCATGAAATTCCGTTCTAAAACTTTCCAGAATATATTCAGAACGTTATAAATCAATAGAGGATCGATTGTGAGTAGTGGAATTTGAATCTTTCATATCTCATTTTCAAACTTAACTTATTTTTGTTAGATTATTCTTTTAACAAGAAAACCTAATTATTTTTTAAAAATTTTCTTTTTTTATCTGTCCCCACTAAGATTGTCTCATATCAAATTTGGTAAAATTTGTTTGGTTCTTAATCATTCTTACTTTATTCTATTTTTTATGAATTCATATCAACCATGTAAATCAATTTTTTTAATAATCACACAATCTCTATTGCTTTACGTGTTTCAATGTTAGTGAGACGAACCTAGTATCTCATAAAAAAGTTGTATAAGGTTTTCAATTCCTTTGACTTTATTCTATTTCCATTTGAGCGAGTCACCTTTAATATTCCTGGACAATAACTTTTATCGTACTTAGTATGCTATTATATCCCGTGAAAAGTGTGAGGATGTCGTACTACATCTATATGGAGTAATTTTTCTTGAAAATGCTAGAAGTATAAAAAAACTTACAAACAAATGATGTTGTTATTCTAATTACCTTTGATGTAAACGTGTTGTAAAGATGATGTGATGTGTTAAATAATGTGATGATGACACCCGTACAGTAACTCGTTTTTTATACAAAACTTTATAACGGAGTAATTGATTTATAATTTCATATAATTATTTATATTTTAATTCTCCCATCTCAATATTTGACAAGGTGAGGTAGCAGTGTAGAAATTGCCTATATAAAGTCGTTGACACACCACACCCACAACTGATTTCTCCCCGCCCATCTAGCCTCGTGTCGCTCGGTTGCGGAGGAAGAAGAAAGTGGGCAAAAAAAATGGGAGATGAAGGCTCTAAACCGTTGCTGAGAGATCGCAACAAAACGTTTGGGCGACTAAAATCGCACGCATTCGACGAGCTGCAGAGCTTCAGGTCCTGGCTGAAATGGATGTGCGTCGATCAGTCCGACCCCTGGTCCACCGCCCTCTCCTGGACCGTCTTCCTTCTCATGACCGTCGTTGTCCCTTGTTTCTCCCATTTCTTCCTCGCCTGCGCCGACTGCGACGCCCGCCACAGCAGGCCTTACGACACCGTGGTTCAGCTCTCCCTGAGCAGCGTCGCCGCCCTCTCCTTCGTCTCCCTCTCCACCTTCGTGCGCAAATACGGCCTCCGCAGGTTCCTGTTCTTCGACAAGCTGTGCGACGAGAGCGAGGCTGTGAGGCAGTGGTACACTGGACAGCTCGATGTAAGATTTCGCTTCTTCCTTTTCTCGATGCGAATTCCATCTTGTTTGATTACGCTTCTTTTATTTACTGTATGAAATTTCATGATTCATTTGACGATGGTATGTATAATGTATTGTAAAATCGAAGAAAATGAAGAACGGAGTTTCGGTAACTGTTGCAATTTGGAGATTTGTGAACAGAAGAGGCATGTGTGTGGGTGCATCCCTGTTTTCGGATGATCGGATTTTTACTTATGTACAGTATGTTGTTTTTTCTAACTAAATGAAAAAGGAATCAATTAGTTTTATTCATATTTTAGTCCGTATTATATTATAGGAGTATTATATTACACCTCCGACCCAAAAAACTTTGAAGCACGGAGTATTTAAAACTTTTATCAACTACTAGTATATATTTTTACTAGAAATTATGCATATTATAAATTTTATATTTCCTGCAAGCAAATGTCCCAAAAAGAAAGATAAAAGTGGGCACCATTAGCTGTAAACGTGTCGGACACTCGGACTTGGTTGTAAATCGTTGACTTTTTCTTTCTTTCCTTTCTCAATTTGAAAAAGTGGCATTGAAGGAATGCGCAATCACATTGAATTCTTTTTGGTGATTAGGAATGACTGAGATTCATAATTTACTGAGGTTCTGTGTGTCTAAGATCCTGGTCTACGCCAAGGAGCTATACTATCTTGCTTCTTATAGACATGTTAAATCATCTCAAATCGACTAATAAAAAAAATCTGAGTTGGATTTGTTTTTTATGAACTCATAATACTGGCAACTGAACATGCAGAGATCACTCTATGTCCTTCTCATATTCGTGATGCCATGTCTTGGTGCTGAAGGGGCATACAAGATATGGTGGTACAGCTCAGGTGGGACCCAAATCCCATTCCTGGGGAATGCTGTGGTGAGTGATGCGGTTGCCTGCACTCTGGAGTTGTGTTCATGGCTTTACAGGACAGCAGTTTTCTTCCTGGTCTGTGTTTTGTTTCGTCTTATTTGCTACCTCCAAATTTTGAGGCTACAAGATTTTGCTAAGGTGTTCCATCAGGACTCCAATGTAGAGTGTGTGCTGAGGGAGCACCTGAGGATCAGGCGCTACTTGCGGATTATAAGTCACAGATACCGTGCTTTCATCTTATGGGCATTGATATTCATTACAGCTAGTCAATTTGCATCTCTTCTCGTCACTACACGTGCCATTGCAGATCTCCATATCTACAAGAGTGGTGAACTTGCGCTCTGCTCACTCAGCCTTCTCGCGGGCCTCATGATACTACTGAGAAGTGCAACGAGGATTACGCACAAGGCACAGGGTGTGACGTGCCTTGCCGCTAAGTGGCACGTTTGTGCCACAATGGACTCGTTCGATTCGGTTGATGGTGAGACTCCTCGGGTCGGTGTTGCAGCTGCTCCAGCTATCAACTCTTTTGCCACCCCTGCATGTATTGGTAGTAATGTCGATGGATCTTCTGACACCGATGATGTTGGCGATGAAGAAGATGAGCTGGACAATACCAACTTTCTTCACTCATACGCCTACAGTACAATTTCATTCCAAAAAAGACAAGCATTGGGTAAGCCCATGTTTTTTCCGGCCTCATTTGCTTTCTTCTAACATTCATATTTAGCCTCCAACAGTAGTTGAGTATTTTTTTTATATAACATTCCATGTTATCGTTTCTGTTGGTGCTCTGCAGTTACCTACTTTGAGAACAATAGAGCAGGCATAACTATTTATGGGTTCATGTTAGACCGGACATCGCTTCACACAATATTTGGTATAGAGATGTCACTGGTGCTCTGGTTGCTAGGCAAAACAGTTGGCATTTCTTGAGTTCCTGATGGTTTGGCGCTACTGCACTGACAAATGTAAAGAAGCTAGCAATGTGACTTCTTCTGCAAATACATGATCTATCAATGGTGAAAGAAGAGGTGCCCATTCAGTTTCTTTTATGATAAATAGGAGGTGGAGGAGCTTGGCAATGTAAAATGGCTATTCTATAATACGGAGTATATATTCACCAACTTGTTGATTCTTACACTTGGCTGTAGCTCTGTAAACATATTACCATCCCTTGTGTTTATTATTAATTAATTAATTTATTCATTTACTTACTCATGTATTTATTTATGGCATCTTCTTTTCATTGCCTTGAGAGTGTTAATTGATTATTCTTATATTTGGTCCTTGTGCAATGACAGCCATTATTAGTATGCTTTGTTGGTGCAATGTGTTGTGCTCTTTCAGAGTTTTGCAAATCAAAGCAGCAGGCCTTCTTTCATCGGCTACATCATATACTGATCAAGAATGTAGTGGCAGAACTTTTTCGAAGGACTGGTGCCGATGGATAATGGTCGGGGTCTAGTTAGTTCAAGTGTCCACAATTTCAAATTGATGAATTTTAATTAGAACTAGGTTAGCCAATTCCGAATATGATTCATGTACATCTAATGTTTTACGTTTAGTGTTACATCCATTTGAACAGTTTTAAACATGAACCTTCAACCTTTTAATACTCCATAGATAAAATTGAGTAACTATGGAACTGTTTAAAGAAATTACCCACAATAGGAGTTAACCATATGGAAAGTTCAATAATAGGAGCTCTTAGTTTTATTTCCCCAAATAGGAGCTGTTGTCTGCCGCCAGCTCCATTTTTTTTCCTTTAATGCCTTTGCTTTATACGGAAGCTTTGCCACGTAATTACTTGTTTCTAACGGTTTCTTCCGGTTCCAGATCTCTGGCTTCTCTGCGCATCTTCACATATTTCTTTCCTACTTTCGGTCTTCCTTCTACGAATGTCGTCTCGGTTCTCACTTCTTTTCCGACTTGCCATTGCTCCTGGTGTTACTACTTTAGTTCTCCGCAGGTAAGTTCAAACCTTCGTGTTTTGGCCTGCGTTTTCCGCAGGTAAGCTCAAACCTTCGTGTTTTGGCCTGCGTTTTCCGCAGGTAATATGAAACTTTCGTTTTCTGGAATATTCATTATATCTATCTTCGAAAATATTGCTAAATCGTATTCTGGACTGTTGATGCTATGTAATTGTTCATATTTGTGTTTCGCAAATAAATTCTTAAAGCTTCAATTCAGTTTTAGTTTTAATGTATATTTGTTGTGGACGAATTTTGATTTCTGTTGTTGAATTGATAATTAACATTGTGATTTGATGTTGTTTGATTATCGTTCTAAATTTTGTTATTATTACTTCATTTGTTTTATGGCATTGTTAAGTACTCTTACTTTGACATTAAATGTCATAATAACGGTTTTTCCTTTTGATTGATGTGTTGCTGTTGTTCTTTGACTGAATTGTTCCCAACTTTTCATTGTTTTTAGGCATTAATTTCTACATATGGTTGTTGTGATGCCTATTATGCTTAAATTGGACGGTAAATGGTTGTCTGACTATACATTTACAAGTTTGAATACTTTTGGTATTCATATTGGGGTTGATTCTTCCTACACGACCTTGATTGATCTGTTGTGTGGCATCTTAAATCAGTACACACCAAATCATTCTTTCAGGGTTTCTTATATGGTTGATGGTTGCCCACCTCCTGTTTTTATTGTTGATGATGAAACTTTGAAATTTTATCTTTATATGAAGTATTTGCAGCCGGATTTTAAAAAGTTTTCACTATGTGTGGAGTTTCAGTCTGAAATTGTTTTTGTTCTTCATGATTCTGTACCACTTGATAAATCAATTGCACATGGTTCTAGTACATCTTCATTGTCTTTGCATGTGAGTGACTCAGGCTGTAGTAATCAAGTGAATGACTTGCATACCAATTTGCCTTCTTTTGATGAAGAAGATGAGTTTTCCTCTTCATCAGAAAGTAACCATTCATCATCAACTGACTTGCATACCAATTTGCCTAATGTTTCTTGATGCTCCTGTAAAACCTTACACGCTGATATGCACTAATTAGTAGTGCATAAATGTATATTTTTATGATTGATTTGTGTGTATTGTTTACCATTTTATTTAGTTTGTAAACATTTGTGTGAATTTAGTTGTAATTGTATTTTAATCATTATTTATAAGTTGTAAAGTAGAATTAGGAATTATGTTGTTGAAAAGGAGGACTTTGAAGTGAAGAAAAAAGGAGATTGGACTATCCAGGAGCTGAAACCCGACCGGGTAGAAGACTTCACCCGGTCGGGTCTGATTTAACAGATGAAATTTCTTGGAAAATCACTAGACCCGGTCGGGCCCACTACCTCACCCGGTCGCGTGAGAAGTGACCGGGGACAATCCGGCGTGCGAAGATCACCAGAACGTGGCAAATATTTGATTTTGACTGATACCCGGTCGGGTATGGCACTTTACCCGGTCGGGTATCCGCCCCAGGGTGTTGAAAACACCTATAAATAGCACACTTTTCCTTCACTTATAATCATCCCTTCTTCCACTCCTAAGCTCAGTTTAGAATAACATTTCTTTCTATTTTTCTAGCTATGTTTAGTCTCCAAATGAGGAGCTAAACTTCCATTCTTGGTGTTGCTCTTGAAGCTTGTTGATTATTAAAATTGTGAGTTATTTTCTTAACTTCTTTCCTTGAATATTAATTAATAGTTCTTTCCTTAATACCATCTCTATAGTAATGTTGGGGAGTTTTGCTAAGATGACAATTAGTTAACATCTCGACATTAGTTAGAATAGTATTTTCTTCCTCTATATTAATGTTGGGGAGTGTTGCTAAGATGACAATTAGTTAACATCTTGATATTAATTATAGTAGGATTCATCTTCTTTAATAATATTCTTCCTTGAATATTAATTAATTCCTATTCATATTTCATATTAATATTTTGAACATTACTTAAAGGATCAACTAGTTTTGTTTCATATATTAATTATTACTAGAAACGATCAACGAACTGATGGTTAATCGTTGATGGTTTCACAAGTAAGTAACTTCGGTTTATTAATGCACGGTCGTGGTTAATAAACTTAAGAAGGATTAATTTTGTTGGTTAAACCGAAACCGTTGTGTTGAGGTTATCAATCTCAATTGATTTCATCAAGGAGTTAGAAAGATTAAATGCTACTATTAAATCGGTATAAGGCGTTGTTCTATATTTGATTAATAGTAAGAGTTATTAATGAACGGTTGTTGTTAATAACTACCCTCGATGAAGTGGATATACTCACCGATTGAGTATTCGAGAGGGAATAAGTTATAGATATAACAATGATCAAAATATATCAACAAGTGGAAAGTAGCAATTCCAAGTCCTTTTTTATCTCTGAAATAAACACATATAGGTTGTTCATCTTAGTTTTTAAATTAAATCATTCAATCTCAAAACCCCCCCTTTATTTACTAGTTTTATAAAAAGAGAATTATTCATTTCCCTGTGGATACGAACTCTACTTCACTTATACTACGTATAAGTGCTAGTATCGATTTATTTTGACGCACCGTGACAAAGTGCTCGTCAAATTTGGCGCCGTTGCCGGGGAAAGGCAATTATTTTTCTTTTTATTTTATCTCATAAAAATAAAAAACAAAAAAAAATATTTAAAAAAAATCTTGCTCTTCTATTTTCCGAGCTTACATGAGTTGTGAGTATATGTGATGGATAGTCTACCCGGGGGTATATATCCGAAGGGTTATTACGGGGAATAAATTAGAGAGAAGTCAGAGCAAGTAAGTAAAAGTAGAGAGAGAGTGTATTCAGTATGAATGCCGTTTTCAGCGTGGTTACAAATGGGGAAATGGGGTGCTATTTATAGTAGCAATAAATGCCGGACAGGGACACGTGTCAAGCGCTCATTGGCCGAGGGGTCACCTCAACTGGTTGGCGCTGGCAGCCGCATGTGGCCGCATTTAATGCGGCTGTTGGATGGGACGTCTGTACAGGGTACGGTGATCTGTACGTATGTGAGGCGGATATCTTGTCGAGTGAGATGCCTTCGGCTATAGAGCAATAGCTGAGGGCTCCTCCAGCCGATGGCACCTTGGTGCCGAGGGCTCACAGTGCCGAGGGCTACTGTTTTCGCCGTTTTCTCCCAGTTTCTTAGTTTGCTTGAGAAACCCGTTATGTGAGAGTTTAGAGCCTTCGGCCAGGGGGCCGAAGGCACCCCTGGCGCGTAGTGCGGGCTGCTTGGTACTCTGGGGGCTGTGATTTGGGCCTGTTGGGCCTTCGCTGGAGTAGTAGGAGTCTGTGGGCCGGGGGTTCCCGGGCCATATACTCCATCAGGAGTCCCTCACTCCTTTTGCCGAAAGGTACTTGAGGGAAAAGGAGTAATTTGTGCTTGCCCTTTGATGTTGTCCCGTCGTGATCTCTGAAGTTGGTGAGGAGTTGTTGCTTTTATGTCCCTGCCGAAGGCAGTCCCTCAGTTACCCACATGTCGGGACTTGAGGGCTTGCCTTGTCGTTTGTCGGAATTTCACTAATTTTGTAATTTAATGATTTTCCCGAGGGGGTCCTCCAGTCCCCCACTCCTTGAGGCACTTGTAAAGTGGTGAAAAGGAGTAAAGTAGTTACGTTGCTGTTGTGGGCCGAAGGCTGACGCTTTTCGTTTCATTTTGGGGGGATGCCTCGTTAAAAACCTCATTAGGAAAAACCCTTTGGGAAAAAATCCTAATGAGGGAAAAAGAGTGCACCGAATTCCCCCAATGATGAATCGAAAATGTCAAACCTTGGTAAAAAATGGAGAATGACGGGAATGCCGAAGGCTCTCTCTTCTGAGGGCTCCTGTGTTGATTAGCCGAAGGCTTGCTGTTGATGTCCTGGTGGCGCCGAAGGGGAGCCCCTCAATTCGGGGATCGAGGGCCTGCTGGATGAGGGCGGCAACGGAGTTGTTACCGGGGGGTCCACTGTTTGTTGATTAGTTGGTGATGAAGATACCCGAGGGCTCCAATTACCTGTGTGCCATGGGTCATCCGTTAATGAGGCAACTCTCCGGGGGCTACCCGGTTTTGCAGTGCTGAGGGGGAATCCCCGAGGGGTGCCCTGATATGAAGCCCTGGGTTTCTGAAGGAGTGATCCCGAAGGCGTCTGTTATGTGCTGTGTGGGGCACAACCCGGGGGCACTTCTGGGTGAGTGTACCCGGAGGCTATCCTTGATGAAGTGGAGTGAAGTAGAAAACCCGGGGGCTTCCAGAATATAGCCGTTGGAAATATAGCCGTTGGAATATATAA